CCTTCTGGGAGAAGTTCTTCTGGAGACTTTTCAGCTCCCACTCGAGGTCCCTTTTTTTGAATGCCGCCATCATCAAATCAATGTCGTCTTCAAATTGGTCAAAATTAACCACAGCAAGAGCAGCTTTAATATATGATCCTTCGGACTGAAGGCAAACTTGTAATTCCCTTTCCCAATCCAATAGTAGAATGTTGAAATAAAGTTCTTGGGGGAAAAAAGTTTTTTTYCCAAAACAACGAAAATGGCAAATTTAATTGAATAGAGTTTTTCCGTATCCCTTGAATTTCAAGGGTAAATTTCAAAGGGTGAAATTGTTCATGCAAATTAGGCAATGAAATTTATTCGCTTTTACCAAAAACAGCAAATTCTGTTATTTTTGGACGTAGTTGAATAGTCTAATAATGATTAACCCCTTGGATTAACAATACACAGCAGATTCCTGCGTTTAATCATTATTAGAATTTTCTCATACTTTTTATCTTTCTGCAAATTTCACTCTCACTCTCATGTCAAAATCTCTAAAAGTGTAGCCGTCTATAAATATCTCACCGATGATGACTAATCTGAAAATCTTTATAACACTAGACCATTCACCCTTGAATGGCGTTCACCATTCTCATCAGACTCCCTTACTCCAGTGGCTCCCCATTGTGGACAAGGAACATTTTTGTCTCACAGCAAATGTGTAAAAGAATGTTATTCAAAATTCTGTTTAGTTTTGTTATTTCAACTTATTACAATATAAATGACACTTACTCAAGTAATAAAATGCTTTCAAAGCGGGGTCATCGTGTGATTATTTTAATATCTTGTATTTCCAGACGATACACGTAATTTAATACATCTCGCAATGGTAATAGAACATAAACTCAAATGATTTAATTGGTTACACCTAATTAGCTGCTGTCATCTGAACTGCTGACATTAATATCTTTATTGGCTGCAATTGCCTTAATGTATTGATATATTGCTGATGAGTTTTTGCAGCCTTCGCAGCAATGTCCATCATCTTAGACGCTTCTTTCATTAACTTGTCTATTTTGCTATCTCTTTTCTTTTTCTTTGGCTGTTCTCTAGCAATGAACAACAGACATTTATCTATATTTATAAGCAAATTATTAACGCATGACAAAATATTGTTGAAAAAATTGCATAGGAATCAAAACTCCGGTTCTCAGGTAAACTCAAAACATCTTTGTCAGAAATACTATATTGCAAAAATGAGCCGTTTATGTCCTCTCCCGGCATTTATTGGTACAGTTAGCGTGCTACTTCAAATCTCCTTTCAGTAATTATAGAATAACTCGAAAATGAAGAGGATGTCTGCCYTTTATTTCCAGYTCACTACCTTTGCATTTCTATAGTCATGTTACTGCRRGGTTTCTCAGCTGTTCAGGGTGTTTCTCTTCGAGCTGCCATTAGACTACTATTTCCAACCTTACCTGGACAAAGAGATGAATTATGGCCTCGTTTGACCCGAAACCAAGTTCAGATGTGGGAGTTGACAGGCGAAACACCATCAAGCCTTACAAGAGTTGTTCAGAGAATCTCAGTTGATGCTGAAAGATTTATCCGCAATTCCTGAAACCCAAGATGCAGAGAGATTCAAACAAGGCCATTTGCTTTGACAACTCGTGACCGGATGTTGATGCTTTTTGTTTGGTTACGCACGTATCCGACCTTTTCAGAACTTGGAAGTATGTTTGGAGTGGGTGCTACAACTGCAGCAGAAAATATCCATATCCTTCTTTTATCAACACTTTTTCATTATGAGCCCCTCTACATTAGATGGCCTAGTTTACGGGTTTGGAACAGTTTACGAGGAAGTATTGCGGATTCCCCTGATCTAGTTGGTATTATTGACGCCAAGCCAATCCGCATCAACAGACCCCAAGGCAACGTACAAAGGCTGTATTATCGCGGCGATCGGGGCTATCATTTCCTAAACTGGCAAGTAATATAGTTGACTGTGATGGCTTGTTTGTCTATAGCCAGGCAGGCTATCTAGGTCTCCTACCTGACGCAGCAAGCCATGATTCCAAGAATTGGTCATAACTGTGCTCTTCCACTCCCAGTAGGCAGCTATATATYGGCAGACAGTGGATATCCAATAGGATATCCGCTATTTGTACCATTCTCACGTCGTGGTGGAAGACGTCTAACAGCCAACATACAATTGTTTGATAGCTTGTTGTCTGTTCACAGAGTGAGAATAGAACATCGAATAGGCGACTTAAAGATATATAGGTGTATCTCTAGCCGTTTTAGACAAGGGCGCTGGAGGATCAGTGGAGTGGCCAACTTAGTTACAGTTCTTGCTAATAGAAGGAGACGACTTCTCCAAAGCATTATAAGACAAGCAGCACTTCGCCTGTAGCAAAGTTGTATTTTTGAAATGTGTTTTGATGAGCTTATTAGTTTAAAACTATAATTCAATAGTAGAATAATAGAATTCAATAATAGAAATCATTAAAAAAAATTAAAAATTAGTTTGAACGTGTATTGAAGATAAGATGTTGAAGATATTTCATACTTTGAAATTCACACATAAAAATTCGGCATTCAAAAAGAGATGGCTAATTCGGCTAATTTGCATKTAAAATTTCATCTCTTGAAATTTACCCTTGAAATTCAAGGAATACGGAAAAAATCTAATGCAATTTTATTAAAATATTACTGTCAAACGAACTGTAATAACAGATCTTCAAAATAAAAAAAGAAATGTAGAATTTCGTCAAGTATTTAATAGATTTTTCAGCAAAAAGAATTGGATTTTTGTGATAACTATGGTGATGTCTATCTATCAACAGAAAATGAGGAAAATCGATTTTTGAAACAAAAATCAGTGGTGGGTTTTTACTGAGACAGCCTCTTAATTGTTTCCTGACAATTTAACAGACAATTTTTTAGTCTACAAACAAGTGATTTAAACATGCTGTCAAGAGAACTTGTATAATCTTAATGATCGAGCAATGACATTTTGAAAACCAAGTCTTTCAATCCAAAACTCAAACAACTTTAGGACCAAAAGGAATTACATGTATTAAGAATCGATGCAGTAAGAAGAATCTCTGCTTTAAAAATAAAGCTTGAGTGCTTTGCGTAAAAGATTGTTTGAGTAAAAAACTCCGGAACTATTCTTAACACGAGTTGACAACTTTATTACATTGTTGGTTTTATTACGTCTTCACAATTATGTGAGACATTAACTGGAATTTGADTTAAGAATTTACTTACATTAAATAGCAAGACAATCCTGTCTAAAAGGGTTGTAATGAACTAGCTGTTTTCTAAACAGCAAAAGCTCATTCACTGCTTCTATTCTACCATTTCGTTCAACATGATAAGATCACACTTGTGCCGAGAAAACAATGAAAATTAAAATTTGTTTAGTTCTTCGGTTGTCCTTAAGAAGACACTTAGTCCAGCAAAAATGTTGTCCTTGAGAAAAACTGTATTATTGATGTGTTTTTATAGTGTAAAGAATTAACAGTAAATCGCTTTCCACGAAAAATCGCCAAGACGTCACATTCAAAAGATGCCGTTTGAATTTTTTCCTCTGCTTTCTTACTTAAGCAGTTACTTTAAAAATATGCTTTTGACAATTTTACGTGCTCGATTGGTCTTTTTAAGTCTTTTTACGGCTTTTTAAGTCTCTTTGTTACGACTTTTTACGATAAAATCCTAGTGGTATAAACGTTAATTTCGTGCCCTGAAGTTAGGACTAACCTTCCTTTTCCTTTATGCCTAATGCTCTTCCTCGTGGTGCCTTAACTTATCCATTTCTTTGTGGCACTGCAGACRCTCCACTTTAAGTACTGGCTGTTGAAATATCCATTAAGTCATACAATATAAATTAAATTTGTTGAAAATTTTGCRGGCATTTGTCCTCGTGGTTTGCCAACTGTTATTGCTGTAGCGCTCTGGAATATTGGTTATGACAACGAAAGAATTTAATCCCAATGTAACAAAAACGTCTAAGAGAATCACTCGCATAACTGCAACACGTGGCRCACCCTCAAAATAGCACATGCGAAGGAAAAAAAACCATTGAATTTAACGAGCTCCCTTTTAGTACCATTTTCTTTAAAAAAAAACCGAATAAAAACAGTTTAAAACGATATAAAATTCTAGTTTAAGATGTAAGTATCTTACGTAAAACGCAATAATAATAATAATAATAAAAACTTAAATATTTGTCTGTCATTTTAACTCAAAAAAGTAATCCTCTTCAAATAGAAATTGAAAAAAAGTGACATTCATATATATGTTTGTGCTTGCGTGATCAAAAACAAAGCCGGAGTTGAAAAAAGCTGAACAACGCGTCATAAAAAATAGAAGTGGGACACTATCACGTTGGACACGTTGAACACAGACCCGTCAACTTCATTGCTTTTGAGGATAAAGGGCCTGACCAACCTCTTGTATGCCATTAGCATCTTCATTGTCTGTGAAACAAGAACAT